TCTACTCTGCTCGCTCTGTGCCTTATTCATTCTCATCGAGTTTGATCCAGTAAACAAAAAATTCAATCTACTCAAGGGGTTGTAATACGTTTCATCATTTTGGTTAACGACCGAATGGATTTTCTGTCTTTCCAGAAGCTATCGGACAGGCTCGCCAACAAATAGCTTCTGTTCGTGCTTGCTAGCACTCTTGCTACCTCTGGCTATTTTTGTTTGTCTAGAGTGTAAGTTTGGTGTGGGCCTTAAATTTTGACTTAGTAACCAGTAACAACAATGTACATTTTTCAGGCCAGAGACCGAATGTTCCATTACCGGCACCTCCAATCACTGAAGCACCATGTACGTTATTAAAATTTGACAAACGATGAAATAATTTAGGTGTAATTTCGTGATGCATTTTGCCCTTCTTTGGTTCTGGAAAGAAGAATGGAAGACAGCATAATTCACAAGAATGAGTAAACCTTTTCGCTCAGTGCGAAACACCTGGCACATATATCTTTTTAGTATTGATAGGATCCCCTTTTCCATCACAGTGAATTTGGTAGTGTTCTACTTTACCAGTATTTTTTATGATGTGCTAGCTTTGAAAACAAACGCAAAGAATGATGGGATGCACCACAATTTATTATCCAAAAAAATAACACACATTTATTAACAGTCAACCATAATAACAGTCAACCAGGAGAAGGTCGACTCAATGCCTCACCACACCGAGTTGCTACTTGAAAATTTTGTACAATTTTCATTGCTGTTCTTACGATCGGCAGTTTCCTTCTTTCTCAGAGGCAATTCTTTTGGAATTTTGAGCAGTATCGAAGCAAAGCAAACTGTGTTCCTGTATTGGAAGAGGTCGACATCAGCGCTGTGAAGAGTAATATCCCAGTCCGATTTCTGGAATAAATTTGGCCCACATTTGGTCGTTGCATTACCTGACTTGTCTGCAATCAGTTTGTAAACTATGCTTCCACTCATACCGATGATAGCGATGTTGTGATATTCTCTCTCAATCTTCTAATTTTTCGTGGATCCGGCGCAACTCTATTCAACATTTGTTTTCTCATAAGTAGGGTCTTTACCCTTCACTGAATGGGCCGTTGTTCCTGCCCTTCTGCTACTAATCTTTTCCTTTCGCTTACAGCGCCTTTATGGCTCGTACTGCCTTTTATTTTAAGTCAGTTTCACATTGGCTAAGTAATTACAGTGAATTTGAAGTTTTCTTTGGTCAGCTCGGATATTATTCTTTTCTATTTTAGCTTGTTACCAAAAAAAGTTCGTGGCGCTAAAATTAGTTTAAGAATCAAAGAAGAAATCCTTTCACTATTTTTGCTCTAGTAATGTGACTTCATTTAGCAACAGCTCCAGCGTTCGAAATCGATGCCGATTCTATCGGAACGGAATTTGTGTTCATCTTCCCGGGCAACAGTGGCGGAAATGCATCAAGGTTGCCAGAGATAAGTGTGGATTTGGTCAATCCGTCCTCCACAAATGTTACCGTTCAAATCCTCAAAAAGAAAGGCTTAATTCCAATACAACAAAATATCGAAATCCAGCCTCACTCTGTAGTGAAAGTTCGTATTTACAACGAATTTTGTTGTTGCCGGTTGTTACTGTTTATACCTAGCTGAAGATTGTGACGGATTATTTAAATCCTGACCAAGTTAGACCTAACTATGAGCCTATTCCAAGTTAATATCATCCTTTCGCAATTTGTCCTCAAGCATGTCGGAATCTTGCTTCGTTTTTACTTTCTAATCCAAATTCCGGAAGATCATTTTCTGATTGGCTAAAATTCGTAAAATGTTTGATCTTTCGATCTAATGCCCTTTTTAATTTAAGATAGCAGAATGTAATATTCGCTTTTTTAACTATTTTCAAATATTTTATTATTCTTTCATCTACAAAACTCGTAACGTAACATTCACCTCTGTATATCGAATGCTTTTTGGTAGCTGACAATAAGCGGATAATAAGAGTTTGAGAGTATCGCGCTCGTCTCACTAAATACGTCATCAAAAATGTGACTTACTGAGCAATAAGTAACTACGAATTCAACGTGCTGCTTTGCATCGGAAAGTCTGCTAGACGGTTGGAAACAGCTTGTTCAAGTAACTTATAATTCTGAGAACATTATTGATAGTTTTTGGACCTTTATGTTACTTTCCTTGCACTGCAAAATACTTCGCAAATATGTGCAGCCGCTGGATATCAGTGGTAGAGAAAGGCTAGTGCTGAAAATTCGTCGAGAATTTTTCTAATGTCTCCTTTTGCATCGCCCCAGAATTAAACAGTGTCCGTTTCAGTACCAGTTTGACGCATCGACCTACGCGAAGCTCTGCGTTGGCAATGACTCATTTGTGCGTTGTCCGGACACATCTATAGCGATTCAAAGCAGCGATCCTATATCAGTGGTGGCACATAATTACATCAGTGGAGTTGCTGGCGATAGCTACACTGGTTTGTAATATATTATTTAATTACAAGTAGACTCAATCACTGATCATAACCAGATATTCAGCTTAAGGACAGCAATGCGTTAACGAAGCATTTCTTAGCATGGTTGCCAAAATTTGCGACTTCTGTCATGGTTTGCTTCACGCCCGACACCCACTTTTTCTAGCCTGCTGCTAGTGCCGGTAAAGTAAAAACTAAAGGAGCATTTTACTTGAGTATTATTGTAGTACAATCCGAAATATCTGAAAAATATCTATTTCTGTCTTTATCTTCATAATATTTCTTGTGAACAAAAGTAG